CCCCAAAACCCCAAAACCCCAAAACCCCAAAACCCCTGACAAAGCCAAATATTTGAAAATAAAATAAAAATATTATTATAACAATGGGGGAGGTTTTTAAGAAGCTATATCGAGGTCTTAAATCTGTAGACCTATTTACTCACAATTTCACTCTTAACTTTAATGGACAGAAGAATTATTCCACAATAGTCGGAGCAATCTTTTCAATCATTATCTATGGCATTTGAGGGTTATATGGATTCAGATTACTCACAGGCATGCTTAATAGAACGATGCTACAGACTAATATAAATAAGATTAAAACTAATTTTGGAAAAGATCCAGTGGACATAACACTTAATGATGAAGGACTTTATTTTGCTGTTTCTTGGATCGGAAGAGAAGGAAGTAAATCAATCGATATGATTTCAGAAGGATTGGGAATTATCAATGTTCAATTAGTAGAAAGAGTTCCTGATGGTGAAGATTATATTGAAGAACCAATTTCCTCACATGAACTTGAAAAATGTACCCAAGAAAATTTGCCATTAGATCCGAATGATCCTAGCCTTAATTTAAGACTTGGGCATACGTTTTATTGATTCAAGCGAAATGATTTAATGAAGATTGTTCAAAAAGATATGTTAGAAGGAAGAAGCTTTAACTTCATATTTACAGCTTCTGCTTGACCATTCGACTCATGAGATTCTTATGGATCAAGGCTAAGTTATTATAATTATCTGTATTTTACCGTTATCAGCAAGTATTTTGATGATTCTGATCCTCTTAATCCTATAAAAACATATGTTAATGATCAAGCTGGACTTCCTCTTTCTAAAGGATCCAATTCACAACTTTCTTGAAATATAAATCGGAACAGATATATTATTAATGACTGGTATTCCATGATCACTGGAAGCAGAGAAGGAGAATTCTACGATGTTGGGAATTGAGCCTCATTCATACAAGAAACTCATGATGGTAATACTCTTGGTTTTGCTTTATTTAATATAAATGAATTTATTCAAACCTACGAGACAAGTGTTATCAGCATCCTTGAAGTTCTTGGCAATATTGGAGGTCTTTTTGAGATCTTAGCTTTGACCTGCTCATTCTTGATCAAAGTAATAACTAAATTCTCGTACACAAGAGATATTAATAAGATTCAGAAGAAAGTTAAGTATAATAAAGGATGGTTTACGTTCCCTACACAAATCCAAAATATAGATTTACAAGAAAGAATGGCAAGGTAAACTAACCACACAAGATAGACTAGAAAAGATAAAACTTTGCTTCTTTAAAATTTGCATTTTTATAATCTAATGATTGCCTACCATAAAATATTGTTAAATAGCTGAATTTCCAAATATATTCTTACCGATTACCCCCTTGGAACCCTAAAACTAAGCTTCAAACGAGTCATCAACCCCAATTCGTTCCCTTATCATCGAAGATATCGGGGTATAATTTATAAAAATCGTCTTGTCTTTCCTAAAATCTTTGCTTTATTCCACCTTCAAAGGTCTAAACAAATTGCTCAGATGTAAGGAATTTAAGCACCAGTACTTCCTGCCCTATTAACTAAAGTAACCAAAACCTTGAAAGTAACCCCAGCCTTTCTTCTTAGAAACCCCGTTTGGAATAATCCGAACCTCCTCTAATGAGAACCCTTTTTTAGAAGAAAACTAGAGGGAAAGAACTTTGTGTCTCTGAGACCACACAAGAGCAGAGTTAGACCCGAAGAAGATGCTGATCCTGCTATATCTATATCAAAGTATTCAAACAAGAGAGACTGAGCTCAACAAAATATGGTCTGACTAAATCAGCTGTAAGTTTTAATTAATCCACCTATTCTTTTATAATGATAGAAGCCAATTGTATAAAGATAAGCTGAGTGAACTTGCTGCACAAGCAAAGAAGATTAAAGAAATCCGCTGAAACAGTAGAACCTTAACAGAAATAGACGAAGAGCTTGATGTTGTTAAAATCTCTCGGTCCCTCATGGAACTCAAGCTCTATGTTTCCTACCTGATGGACAAAGATAATCTCATCAACGAGGACATGCTTAAGAATGAATTGAGAGAAGATAGTCATCATCTAGAAGAAGAAAAGAAGCTAATCCCTCCAGACATTAAGTATCCAACAAGTTTTTCAAGGATTTTAAACAAGAAGAGCAAGGGATCCATGAAGGATCCCAGCAATGACAAGAGTGTTAGCAAAATTATAGAGTAAATAGTTTGAATAACTTGATTATAAGTAACTCTATAAAGTTTAAACTAAAACTAACCATTTGGTGAATAGAAATATTAATAAAATTCAAATATTAAAGAAGAAATTGTTGAGCAATAAATATTACAATCTATTTTAACAGAATTTGGTTGAAAAGAATATGACATAACTTATCAAATTTCAACTATTTTAATTCTAATTTATTTTATACAAGAGATCCACCACTTAAAGCCAACGACGAGGGAGTCTCAATGATATTTCCTTCCAAAATCCCCAACCCACCCTCCAATCCTCAATCAAGAGACCCAACAGAACCAACCCCCTACAACCCACTCTCCAACCACACCACCAAGCATACCCCCCAACCTAACCCAACCCATAAACAGCCCAGCCGTGCCAATCTCTATTCCATGAATAAATAAATTCTCATATTCTACCACCTCCGCTGACACTGGGGTTTTGGGGTTTTGGGGTTTTGGGGTTTTGGGG